AAAAAAAAAAAAAAAAAAATCAGTAATCTTTTAAAAAAGTCTGTAGAGAAAACAAGAATAAAGAAAACCTTAAGAGAAAAGCAGAAGAAAAAATATTTGCTCATATTTGAAGTCCAATATTTGCATAGGAAAATAATTGATCAGAAAGCCTCCTTGCTAATGCCACCTGAAAAGCACCTGAAGTTCCTTGTTTACTAATGTAAAGTTAAGGCTTATGAATTAAAGATAAAAATTCAAGAATCTCAACAGCTTTCTGAGAAAATAAAGGTCCTCCACAAACAGTATGCATACCTAATTCAGGCCACGTGCTAATCAATTTTTCCTTGGGGGGGGGAGAGAACAGGGGATTAAAAAAAAAGAAAAAAAAGGAGGAGGGAGTGAAAACAGAAAAAGTAAAAAAAAAAAAAATATGGTGAAAGGTTTGCACTGAATGATTTCTATGCTGCTTTTACTTTTTCAATACAGTCAACATTCAATAGTCAGCATTTGCTTTAGAGATAAATATTCAATAAATAAAAGCTTAACTTAAAGAATTTTGTATTTTTAAGGGTCTTCGAGAGAGCCAGGTCATCACAAGACTTGATTCTGCTAAAAGCTAGCTGCCAGCAAACTGCCTATGGGCAGCAGTCTATGGGCTAGATCCTCTCATGCACTTGAGCTGTTTGGCACAGGAAAGACTGGAAGATGAGGGAGCTGGCTGCTTAGCTTACACATGCCCAATTCTAAGGGTCCTCACAGGGCTCTGATTACTTTAGCTCCACCATGCCACCCACTTGCCTCCATCACTCGAGAAGAGGGACCACATGACAAAAAGGTGATATGTTGGTCCTAAGTCTATTTGTTTCCTAGAGGTTATAGTTCACACATTTATATGTGAAAAGGGAGTTAGGACACATTAAATTTACTTTTTAAACATGGGCAATGAAACACTCTGATCTTTTAAAGAAAGACTTCAGATTTTTGATGCTTCCTACAGATGCACTGTTTTTATCCTGTGCTGGCAAGAAATGTCCCAGGTAGTTCTGAATGGAGTTTGCAGTAAGTGAGACAAAGTTGAGAACACGGTGATGGAGGGCAGAAGGAGCAACTATGTTGGTCAAACACTCTATAGACATTAAGTGGCTAGAAGAGAAGTATCATAGCCCAGATGGAAGGGAAAAAAGGGGGTGGGTGGGAACTACAACAACAAAAGATGGGCTAAGAGAAGGAAAACAGAGTTTGAGAAGCTCAGCAGGTCAGTTACAGAACAGCTGGTTACTAAGAAGAGACTGGGAAGAACAATGTTAGAAAGAGACACTGCCCTGGCACACCTTTTTTTGGGCAGCCCATGGGATCTTCCAGTGACAGGAAGGTGAAGAGAGGCAGAGTACAGAAGTTGTGTGTCCTGCCAGCAATCTTAAGCAATTTATATTAGCTGTCTGTCTGCAGGCTGCACACACTGTTTCCTAAGCTGCTTCTACTGATGTATAAAACTACAGAAAAAGGTAAAGTGGAAAAAAAATTAGTCTGACTTACACGACACTACTGGGGCAGGGGAGAAATGGCTTTAGGATTCCATGTTTATTACTGAAGGTTTCCAGGTCAAAATTGTTCAATTTAGAGCTGGTACCTTGGTCTCTCTCACTTTCCACCATCTTTCCACCTTCCACACGTACTCACCAAAAAGTGAGGTTTTATTAAAACACATTTCCTTGAGTTCATGAAATAGTTTTATCTGGAAAAAAAAAATGGTGGCTAGAGGGAAATATGTAATCTGAAGAGGAGACATGTCTCCTTTTATACAACAGTCCACTGTGTAGGCCAGGAGTGTTCAACCTCCAGCCCATGTAAGCTGTGTGATCCAGCAAAATGTGGTGGCAGGGGACCAGTGGTAGCGTTAACTACCACTCCCATGCTGCCAAATTTCTGGACCCATGGAGAATCCGGCAGGCCAGATAACATGGCCTTGCATGCTGGACTGCACCAGCACATGGCTCGATCCTGATGAACAGGCTGGCATGCTGGATCACACCCATGGACCAACCCCATATACCAACCCTACATAGGGTCTGGCCCAGACTGACCCCACAGCACTCATCCAACCCACAGGGCCAGAAGGTTGGGTGCCACTGGGTTAGGACATTTACTTGGGATATAAAGAAAATCAGGTTCAAATCCTCTCTCTCAACTCACTTACTACTTCTCACAAGAGTACCCTATCCAAGCTATTCTGGGATAGCAGATGCTTCATGGTTCCTGTTGAATCTCTTCCTCCTGTATTACACAAGGCCAGAAAGTGAAAATGTCTCCCTAGATGGTGTTTGGCAAGACTAACTGGAAGAAAGGAAGGAGGCTATTCAGCTGGTAATCCAGAGGGCAGTAACTTCATGGAAGCCAGAAGTCACTATGTATTCATTAAAAAAAAAAGACAAACAAAAAAACATAAAAAAAACCTCCCAACAAACAAACAAACAAACAAACCACGTAGCTAACCACTTGTCCCCTTTTTTGGTATTTATCTTCTTTGTGCATTTATTATTTTGCATACACTGATCCCATTTCCTCTTACTCATCTCCTTTCTAAACAAGTCCAAAGCTTTTCATATGCTTCATCTTGGATGTCTTTCCATATATCTTGTTATTATATTATTCAACTTACCGCGTTGTTATATAAAATTCAACTCTAAGCCCCTTCTCTATTTCTCCAATATTTTATTCAGGGGTAGGCCCACACTGCTCTTTGGCTTGGTCCTGTAAAGCACTGCTCCCCTCGCAGCTTCCACTGAGATTGGACATACAAGCACTTGGCACATACCAGGATCTATCCTCTTTGTAAAACTATTCATGCTTTCACATGTTGGTGTTATTCTAAAGAATCAGATGAACCTATAATCACAGTTGTCCAGTTAGCAAAGTTAATGTACAAAGAAGACTTACCTCTGGTTTTGGAAGAAAGGCTTGACCTGGAATTACGAAACAGTTTTCAATAGTGCAGAGGTGTTGAGACATGATGGACAGTCTACTGCGTTGCTTGCTTCCTGTGCTAGCTATGAGCCTCTGTGGGAGGATTCAAATATGAATCAATGAATCAGACTGATCAAACAGAAAGAATATTAGAGCTCTATTGACTTTTGGCTTAATATAAAAGGTAAGATTATTTAAAAATCAGAGTAAGAGATTTTCTTCCTGTTGCCTAGCCCCAGCTCAGTTCCCCACTGGCTGGAAGCTGCACCCATGCTGTAATCAGGGAGCCAGGGAGTTTAGAGAAGCAAGGAGAAGCAGCAGTGGCATGGGCACAGCCAGGGAGCTGGAGGCCTGGGAGAAGCAGTGGTAGTGTGGACTCAGTTCCCAGCTGCCTAACCTTGCCACAGATAACTCCCTCTCCTCCACTGATGCGCTGCAAAAGCTACCCAAACCCATGACAGACTGGGGCTGGGATGGTCCAGCCCACAGCTTGCCAGCCCCCCAGTGTAAAAGAAAGCTCTAACAATTTCCTGCTATTTTTTATAAATGTGATAAAAACACAAAATGCTTAGATGCAGGAATAGAGGTGGATGTCATTTTCTTGGACTTTAGCAAGGCCTTCAATACTGTATCCCATCCTAGTCTCATACATAAATTAAGAGGCTGTGACATAGATGTTTACAGAGTCTGGTGGGTAGCAAATTGGCTTAGCGGTTGCACCCAGAGAGTGGTAGTAGACGGGTTAGTATTGACCTGGAAGGATGTGGGTAGTGGGGTCCCACAGGGTTTGGTCCTTGGACCTGTACTCTTCAATATCTTCATCATTGACTTGGATGTGGGTGTGAAGTGTACTCTGTCCAAGTTTGCAGACAATACTAAGTTGTGGAGAGAAGTGCACACTCCAGAGGGTAGGGAACGATTGCAGGCAGGCCTGTACAGGTTAGAAAAGTGGGCAGTACACAATAGGATTCAGTACAACAAGGACAAGTGCAGAGGGCTGCACCTAGGGCACAAAAATATTCGTCACACCTACTGGCTGGGAAGTGACCCTCTCGGCAGCACAGAAACAGAAAGGGACCTTGGAGTCATAGTGGACTCCAAGATGAACGTGAGTCGTCAGTGTGACAAAATCACCAGCAAAGCTAACCGCACTTTATCATGCATCAGCAGATGCATGACAAATAGATCTGAGGAAGCGATGCTTCCCCTCTATGCAGCATTGGTCAGACCGCAGTTAGAGTACTGCGTCCGTTTTGGGCGTCGTACTTCAAGAGGGATGTTGATAGATTTGAGAGGGTCCAGAGGAGGGCCGCTTGTATGGTTAGGGGCTTACAGGACAAGCCCTATGAGGAGTGACTGAGGGACCTGGACCTCTTCATCTTCCACAAGAGAAGGCTGAGAGGTGATCTTGTGGCCGCCTACAAATTCATTAGGGAGACACAGCAAGGGATCAGAGATTCTCTGTTCACCAGGGCATCTCTTAGGGTAACAAGGAACAATGGTCACAAACTGATAGAGAGCAGATTTAGGCTGGACATCAGAAAGATCTTCTTCATAGTAAGGGTGGCCAGAATTTGGAATAGGCTTCCAAGGAAGGTGATGCTCTCCCCTACCTTGTCGGCCTTTAAGAGAAGGCTGGACAGGCATCTGGCTGGGGTCATCTGACCCCAGCACTCCTTCCTGCCTAGGCAGGGGGTCGGACTTGATGATCTATTGAGTTCCTTCCGACCCTAGCATCTATGAATCTATGAAACAGGAGAGATACCAAAGCTGTGTGTATTCCATGAACTATAAATTCCATGAACTGGCACTGGCAGGAAATGCTTCTTTTTGTTTTAATAAATATTTTACCAGTATAGATGAAACCTCAATGTTTTTGCACAAAAAGAAATACAGCAACAGGCTTCAGAAAGCACTCCAGTGCCAATAAAGACTGGCACATGAAAACAACTTCGTCATTTACTGTAACAATGTTTTCACTATGAAGAGAGAAAAAAAAATTACATTGATATCTGACGGTAAAAACATAGCCTCCAGTTAAAACACTATCTCTGCAAAGCTGCCATGGTCTCTGACGGCTCATGTAAATAAAGCAACTGAACCGTGGCTGTTCATATGAAAATTATTTTTAAGTTCCCATTAATTGACACTTAGGGTGATTTAAGTGCCAAAGGAGGATGCTCAATTGCTTTCAGTGTTATTTCAGGAAGAAAGCTCAAGACTTGGTTTTGCCATGCAAACACCAACATCTTCAGTACTAGTTCATGGGAAACTGCTGTTAAAAACATCCCTTCAGCAATGGGTCAATTTATTTGAAAAATAATCAGGGCAGAGTCTTTCAGACACATGGTATATTAACACAATTTGTACAAAGACCCTTTACCTTTAAAATCTGTATTAGTTGTTCCTCTTCACTCATTTCTGGCCTTTTAGATCTGTCTAGCATTTCTTCATACCCACTTCAAACCATACCTGGACAACCTTGGATTCTGTACCCAACAATCTAAGTGACATTGCAGAGTTGTATTTTTTTTTCCCCAGGTAATGTACTCAACATTTGTACTTTCTCAAGGTATAAATTACCATGTAACCAATGTCACATTTCTCCTGAGATAAAACATGTTGTCCCAGGATCCTACAGATATACAAGTCATAGGATCACAGGAAACTAGGGTTTGAAGAGACCTCACAAGGTCATCCAGTCTAGCCTCATACTCAAGGCAGGATCATCCCCGACTAAACCATCTCAGCCAAGCGTCTGTCCAAACTGGTTTTGAAAACTTCCAAGGATGGAGATTCCACAGTTTATGTAGCCTGTTCCAATGACTAACTACTCTCATCATCAGAAAGCTCTTCCTAATCTCCAACCTAAAATTTCCTCTGCTGCAGCTTGAGGTCATTGCTCCTAGTCTAGTCCCCTACAGCCACAGAGCAAAACCCATCTCCATCCTCTCTATGAACGCCCTTCAGGCATTTTGAAGCTGTTACCAAATACCCCCTCAGTCTTCTCCTCTCCAGACTAAATAACTGTAGTTCCTACAGCCTTTCCTCATAAATCCTGCTCTCCAGGACCCTGATAATTTTTGTTGCTCTACACTGAACTTTCTGTAATCTGTCCACATATTTCTTGAAGCATGAGGCCCAAAACTGGACACAGTCCTCCAGGTACATCAGTGTTGAGTAGAGTGGAAGAATGACTTCTCTTGACTTGCAAGTGACACTCATTTTAACACAATTCAGGATACCGCTGTTTTGTTTTTTTGGTTTTTTTTGGGGGGTGGGGTTTGCAACAAGAGCAAACTGCTGGCTCATATTCAGCTAATGGTCCACTGTAACCCGCAGGTCCTTCTCTGCAGTACTGCAGCCCAGCCAATCATTCATCCATCTGTATTTGAGCATGGAATTATTCCGCCAAGTGAAGGACTTTGCACTTGTCCAAGAGTCCAATTTCCCACTTTATTTACTGGTAAAGCGTACAATAAAAAATTTTCTAGCTCTTTCCCATGACAGTGCTGTGTACGCTTGTCATGTGGCTCATTCAAGCTAATTGCCAGTCATTCCAGGAACAAGACTATGAGGCTGTGTGCTTTTTCTGACCACCCAGTGGCTGAGGGGCAGCAATGCAACTAGAAAGGGCTACGCGAGTGAAGAGCTACGGCGCTCCTCTTTGATACGAGTAAAACCAAGGACCAATCAGAGCCACCTCAAATGAGAGGTCTGTTTACAACCTAAGCAGGTCCTAAAAGTCTATCTTGGATCTAATTCAAGGGTGATGCTGAACACCTCTGAAGTACAGAATATTCTCCATGCTTTGAAATGAAAAAGGTTTATCACTAACTTTTTCTTTGAAAACAGTCATATATTTCTACTAAAAACATATTAAAAATAACAGTACTATTATGGGAGGTATCACACTAAAACCAGTATGGCATAGCTGACCACCTGGACATGTACTAAAACTGTAAGGTATACAGGGTGGATACAAATCAATGATTTAAAATAAATAAATAAAATCGATTTTTTTTTTTAAACAATTTGATTTTTATTCAAATTGTATTTTTTGATTGTTTTAAGATGCTTTTTTAAAAAGCACCCTATATAAAGATAGTTTTAAGATATGTTAAAGCTCAAAAAGATTCAATAGGGATTATAACTTCTAATTATATATTATTTGAGACAATATATTCATGTAACCTTTTTGGGAATGTTTTATAAACACATCACAAGAGGCCATGGACTATATTAAGGGCCCAATCTTATGAGGTTCCCAGAGGCTCCTCTATAGATTAGTAAATATTAAAGAAAACCACACTACCCAATGAGACTCAGTGCTCAGTGTAGCACAGGGGTCTTCAACCCTTTTTAAACGTGTACCCCTTCTGTCTCAAAGTTTTAGCTCATGTACCCCCTTATGTTTTTTTCTTCTTTTTAAAGGGGCGGGGGCAGACAACAGATCGAGGTCCTCGTGGTAAGGGAGGGAGTAGGGCTGGGGCAGGCACTGCACAGCTGGGGCGGAGTGTGGGACAGAGCCATGAGAGTGGTTTGTCCAGTTTGGGG